TAAGCAGATTAAAATGTGGACTAGAAGCCTATTATTCAGGGCAGCAAGAGGGTAGCAACTGACTGAACCCCAGAGAAGCAGCACTTCAGGTCTATATGTGTGCTCACTCAAAACAGTGAAGTGGTTACTGCTCCAAAGGTACTGACTGAAGCCGAGAAAACCTCTCTGAGAGGATCAGCTTTCAGAATGCACAAAGGGATCCAGATGAGATCTGGGTGCAAGTGAACTCTAGAGACAACCTCTTTCAAAAAATTTAATTGCAAATCCTACCCTCACACTAAGAAGTCTCAGGAAACGTGACATGTCAGCCCCCCACCCCAATCCCTATATTTATGTGAACAGTAAGATTCTAACTCCACTAGGAATTTATGTATATTAGAGAATGTTAGAAGCTATAAATGCAATACAATCTGATGAAATACTCTCTCCTTATAATTTGCTAGAAGCAATAACATCACGCCTTTCTGCTACTGTACTTCCCAAACATCTTTCCTCACAAAGCAAAGAAACCTTAAGAAAACCAGAACCCATTAAAATACCTCCCACCTCCTCCAATCCCAATTTTGAAGAAAACACTTGTAGGAGTTATTTCAAATGTAATGAAATATAAATTTTTAAACACAGAGATTGATTGCTAGCTGAATTCCTTTGTCTCCAAAAATCAATGATAGAAAATAAATATACTTACTTATTTCAAATGTGTTGCTTTTTTAATATAACAAAAGAGGCCAAACTGAAATATTATCATGATTAATCTTCCTAAATAGGCTGCCTAAATCCTCACCTAAAAAAATGATTCTAGGTGCAGAGTTAATGCACACACCTCCATTTTTACAAATCATGGAGCATGTTATACAAAAACAACCTCTGTAACAATTTTGAAAGTGCACTTAATATAATGTTGTTACTATGGTAACACTGGCAGGCTAGTTCTTTGAAGAGAATCACATCAGAGTTTGAACAAGGTTATGTCATGATCTTTTACTCTTCTTCCTCGTAAATGTTTCTTTTGCAACAGCACACACACTCAATAGAAAAGTATCTACATAATTAGTCATTTTGACTTGATTCTTTTGACTCAGTAATTATTTCTAAAGTCTTTGTTTTTTTAGGACACTGTCCAAGAAAATAATGTAACTTAGGGCTGAGGCTATGGCTCAATTGGTAGAGTGTTTGCCTAGCATGCCCCATCACCACAGAAAACTGGGTGTTGTTGCACATTGTGTAATGCCAGTACTTAAGAGGAAAACAGAGAGAAGGGGACCAGAAGTTCAAAGTCGTGCTTGCTACATAATGAATCTGAAGCTAGCCGGACATATGTGTGGCTCAGTCCTGCCTTTTGTTAATTTTTATGTGAAACTTTTTTTTTTTTTTTTTTTTTTTTTTTTGTCTTCTTCAAGACAGGACTTTTCTATCCTGGCTATCCTGGAACTCACTCTATAGACAAGGGTGGCCTTAAACTACCTGCCTTTGCTAGGAAGGAAGGAAGGAAGGAAGGAAGGAAGGAAGGAAGGAAGGAAGG